ACCTTTATATCATGGTTACATTAGTACTGCTCATTGTGTTATAGGTAAAAACTAACAATTATTTTTGTCGTTATTCCTTTAACTTCTCTTCAAGTGATATTCATTATATTTTATTTTCAGGTGCTATTTGTACATACCTAGTTGGATTTTTAAAACTTAGATGGGACATTTATGGCGAATTAGTTCTTGCTGTTTGTTCTATTGTTCAGGGAACATTAATTTTACAAAGTACACATGTTGATGCTTTAATAACTAATTATATATTATTTATTGCTTTTCGTGCTGTGTATCAGTCTTCCAATACTATTGCTTCGTGAGTTGACAAATAATTCTATTAATTAAAATTGATATACATAATTTATTTTAAAAAAAAAAACATAATAATTTCATGTTATTTGTAGATCTGAAATTGCCAAACATATTCATTCAGAAAGTTATGCATTAGTTTTCGGTTTAAATACATTTGTCGCATTATTAGGACAAACAATATTAACTGTTTTAGTTATAGACTATTTAAAAATGAATATTAAGACTCAAGTAAGTGAATAATTTTATTTATTTATTTTAAAAAAAACTAATTATTTTGTTAAAATTAACCGTTTTTTTTTTCTGTTTTAGTTTTTTATTTACGGTAGTTATTATATAGTTATTGGAATCGCATTTGCTTTGTCCGGTGTTTTTTCTATATTTAAATATTGTAAATCAAAATTAACGAAAAAATCATCGAGTGGTGATATATGATATTTATATTAATTTCTCATGTGGGTTTAAAAAACTATAAAGAATGCCAACTCAGTATGTAACCAAATTCCTCAAATCAATTTATTTCAATTCATGTACTGGTCATTTATTATTATTATCATCATTTTTTTTTACTTTAATATATATATATATTATTTTATACTGTAATTTTTAAGTAATGAATCACGATATAATGCATACAATTTACAAGAAAAAAAAAATAGTTTTATATAAATTTTTTTAAAGAAGAAAAAAAGAAGAAAAAATTAGTTTATAATTGAAATTTATTTTACCTAGTCAATTTGTTAAGGTAGTGTAAATTTAAATAAATATTATTTTTTTTAATTTAGTAGCTCAAGTCAAACAAATTAAAAGAAATTTTTTTTATTATATATATATATATAAATAAATAAATATATAAATAGATATTTTTGTGAATAATATAATTTTTAAATAATATTTTATCTAAATAAAAATTAATTATTTTACTAATGAATTTTTTTTTTCTCTGTGTTAATTTCCCTTTTTTCCCCATCTTTAATTTTATAATTATCGATATTTTTAAATAAGTTTGTTGCGATAGTCATATTCGAATGGTAAGTTAGTAATTGGTATTAAATTATAGCTCTTTTTATTTAAAATGATATAAAGGTTGATGTACTCATGAAAAAATATTAAACAAAGTTATTTTTCTATTGTATTGTAGTATTTTCAAACATAAACAAAAATTATTTTAATTGCTACTTACATATATTAACAGTAGTTATTAACAAAAAAATAAAAAAATAGAACTAAAAATTAAAGTTTTCTTTGGCACTTTTTACTATAATTAAATTAATGATTATAAGGATTTTATTAATGTAAAAAAAAAGACTTATTCGCTATTATCAGAAAGATTTAAATCTATATCATTTTTAAATATTTCATACATTATATTCCATATTCCTAATTTTTTTAACAATGTCCTACTATCATACTCTTCTTGCCTGTTCATTAATATATTATTCAAATGTAAAAATGCATTTTTACATCCTATTTTCCACTGTTCTATTAAATTTTCTAAATCTCTACAATTTACAGTTTTATTTTCTACATCTTTGAGAATTTTTTCTTTTTCTTCGATTCTTTTTCGAACTGCAACAATTTCTTTTTCAAAATCTAAATTTTCCTCAGTCTGGCTACAGTTAATCTCATTTTTAATTATTTTTGTTGTTTTGTCTTCTTCATTCAACTTTTCATCAGTCTGTAATAATATTATAAAAGTACAATGAATAAAGAAAGGTGTGAAAATGATTACTTTTATTATATATTTACATCGACAGTTTTTTTAATTGGCGTGTTTGAGGAATTCTTATCTAAAATTTGAATTTTAGTTTCACAGCTTAAAACAGAAGTACTTTTTCTTTTTCGGCTTAATCCTAATCTCTTTATTGGTGTTCGAACCGTTAAAATTGGTGAATTTAAAGACGTTGCAAGATCTTTTTGCATAATGAATGAATAAAAAATAAAAAATAAATTTTTATCGCCCTAAAAAATATACTCCTAAATACCTACTGAAAAAAATTTTTTTTCTTTTAAGGTATAACTTAGTCAAATTTATTGTGTAAATAAATTTTAAATTCTTCTTAAATAACGTTATCCTACGTTTAACAAATTATGAAATTAAAAAACAATGTCGTGGTAGCAGAAAGGAAAAAATTTTTCACGTCCATGGTTAAGGTATTTGTATAATCAACCCTGCGTTTGTATGGTTATAACTTTATTATAGAAACAGAATGAATTTTATTTTAAGTGTTTAAAAGTTTTAAAAAAAACAAAACAGTTTTAGTTTTTATACAAAATGGCTTATCGAATGCATAGTGGTTCAGGGTCTAAAAAGCAATTGAAAGAAAAAGTCGTTCAAATTTACGAATCCTTCTTTAAGGTGCGTTTTTATTCTAATCAAACTTTATCTATTTCTGATCAAAAAAAAAAAAAGTATCAGCTGTTATACATTTTTTAAACTGAAAAAAGATGTTTTTATTCTGTAATGAACTAAAAAAAAAAAATTAAACTTTGTTTAATATCCCAAAATATTTCAATTTCACAGCACAGTAATTATTTATTTCTGAAATTAATTTTTTTTTTTTTTTTTTTTTCATTTTATTGATGTTAATTCAATAAAAGATATGATACGTCATTTACTGTTTTATTAGTTTATCATAGAAATTAATTTGTAATGTGATGTTTTATGAAAAAAAAAAAAAAATAATAATTAACTGTTTTTAACTGATAGATAAATGTACTTAAGTAACCATATTTTGATGTAATTAACTAAATGCAAATTTTACAATAATAAAATTTTGTGTAAATTTAAATTTCACTACAAGGTTAAATATATGAATTGTTTAAAAACAGATAATAAAAAAAAACCTTCATCCAATAAATCCATTAAAAAGTTAAAATGTAAAATTTATTTTCGATATTTTTCAATTTTAATGCCATGTAAATATCAAATGAAAATTTAGAGTATGAAAAAACAATTTTTTAAGTTTTTTAATTTAAAATAAATGTAATTTTTTTTTTTTTTTGTTTTCTAGGGAGAAGATTTAACTATTAACAATCCAAATTTTTGGGATGAATTATTTTTATTAAAACCTAAAATAAATCAGTTGGAAATTGAAATATTAAAATTGACAGCTTCCGATTTACTAAGTTTAAAAGATAGTATAAATAAATTATTTTGTCACTGTGTAGAAAATTTAGGTCACGAGCATCACATTAGAGTAGTTTATGCATTACAGGTAATTAATTAAATAATAATAATAATAATTTTAAATTCAAAAATAATTAGTTTTATTAATAATTTTCCAGACGCTATGTTGCTTAATAGATACAATATTTAAAAAATCATCCAGTGATTATCCCTTTGATGTAATTGATAATTTAATCGGATTTGATGTGGCTCAGCACAGAGTCAAACAGTTATTAGATCACATGACCCACTTTTTAACTGGGGAATATCCTGATAGTTTCAAGTCGCTTTGTTTAAAACTATTACTAATATTAGTTACTACTTCGGAAAATGTCAGTCAAAACACTCTTTTAGAATATATGATGATCACAAGTATATTTGAACCGTTAATACAGGTATAATTTTAAAATTATATTTACTGGAAAAAAAAAAAATCATGTTTGTTTGACATATTTAAATAATTTTTTTTTTTTCCAGTTGTTGAAAATACCATCGAGTAGAATTCAACATGGACATGATGCTGTACTAATTTTAACACTTTTGGCAAACTATAGAAAACACGAAGCTGCTAATCCATACATTGTTAAATTATCAATTTTAGATGATGAATTAGCTTTAAATGGTTACAGTCAAGTAATCACACTGTCGTTGACTGAATTTTGTCGACATTTTATTTCTCAACATGCCGAACCGCAAAATGCTGGCTGGTTGTCTTCCATTACAAACATTGTCGGAAACATGTTTGTGTCCGAAGATGGTATAATGAGAATACAACAAATCAGGGCGAAAAATCCCGTGTTGATGGCTCTTTACGAAGCTGTTCATTTAAATAGAAATTTTATAACTGTTTTGGGACACACTCAAACGGATTCCAGCGCTCCTCCTTCACCGAGCAATACCTTAAATTCATCATCACCGACTCCGGATTTATCAAATTCTCCAGCTGGTCCAATAATGAGTCAACCTTCTAACTTGCTCGTTACTTTTTTCCAATACTGGTGAGTTCATTGACAGACTTTAAAAGTAGTGCAATGGTTTTCAAATCTAAAATTTAAAATAAATTTTTATTAATTTTAGTTCGATCGTGATGCAAGATACAAAAACAGAAGCAAGCGTCAATCATGTTAAATTATGTTTCTTAATACTAACCTGCGTGTCTGAGGATCAATATGCTAATTCTCTAATGCACGATGTTAATTTAGTTTTTAAAGTACAATTGCAAAGGCTACCCATGAGGCATAGAAAATTAGCTCCGGATAAATTATCACCTTCTCAGCCTCTCGCCTCAACTCTTTTAGGTCACCATTATTATTATTATTTTTTCTGTAATTCCGAAAAAATTATGAAATATATATATATTAAAATGACGAATCATTTTTTTGTAGATCTCCTCGTGGAATTTATAATGTCACACATGATGAAAAAACTACCGTTGGAATTATACCTTCTAAGCGTCGGAGTCATACATAGATTATTATGCTTTCAAAAGAGGTGCAGGGTTCGATTGAGTTACCATTGGAAAGAATTATGGACGGCATTGATAACATTTTTAAAATTTTTACTCGCCAACGAAAATCATTTAGCTAAAAAAATGAATATATTTAATTTAGCAATACAAATAATAAATATATTTAATTTGTTTATTACTTACGGTGACACGTTCCTTCCATCGGCTGCTAGCTACGACGAATTGTATTATGAAATAATAAGAATGCATCAAGTATTCGATAATTTATATTCGATGGGTGAATTATCATTTTCAAATCGATTATTAATTTTTATTATCACATTTTAATAATTAAAAAAAAAACCGTTATTATTTGATTTCAGCATTAAGATATTCAACCATTTCCGTCGATTACAGAGAACACGCCATGAAATTGACAAATTGTCTCGTTAACATAAGGTAAATAAATATTTATATATAAAACCGAGAGAAAAAAAATGTCTTCACGAGTATAATTAATTAATTATGTTTTTTAAAGAGCAATTATTAATCACTTTTCACCGAAAATCGAATCTTGGTTAACTTCGCAATCATTATCGACACCCTCGGAAGATCAAATATTGGAAGTTGTTAGAAAAAATTACGATAGTCTAACGTTAAAATTACAAGATAGCCTTGATCAATTTGAAAGATATTCGGAAAAACCTCGACATTCGGCATTTTTTACATCGATGATGAGAGGAGTCGTTAACGATACTAAACTTAATATAAATTATGCAACGTTGGATTTACAAGTAATATTGCAAGATTTTTCTACCATAAGTTAACTATTGATAAATGATAAATTTAATAAAAAAATAAATAAATAAATAAATAAATTGGGTACGAATATGTGTTCATTTAATATTTCATATTTTATCGTGAAAAGACTGCTATATGAACGATTATTATTATGTCTGCTTTTTAAATTGATCTATGAGAATTTTAAAAAAATATTTAACGTGAAATATATATATAATTCAACAAAAAAAAAAAAAATTTTTTATTTACTGTATCTGATATTAATAATAATAATAATAAAAATAATAAAATTTTTTTAACAAGAGAAAAATTATTAAAGTTTATTGATATTAAATTGTTGTTGTTGTTGTTGTTATTATTAGGTCAAATAAACTATTTTAATAAATTAGCTTTTTTTTTTTTTTTTTTTTTTTTTGTTTAGTAGATATTTCAAATAATTAGGAATGAAAGAAAAAAAAAAAAAAAGAAAAAATTTTTTTTTGTTTTTTTTTTGGTTAGAAATAAGTTAGTTTTTTGTTGTGTTGAATGAAATAATATTTAATATGGACGGCCTCTTCCTCTTCCCATTGGTAGTGCCGATGGTGCATCTCCTCCACCCGATTTTACATTTTTTATAGTTTCGTCAACGGAAAGAATGAGGCAGGCCGCTTCGCTGGCTGCTGTTATTGCATTTATTTTAACCACGGCCGGTTCCCAAACGCATTGTTCAAAATTATCAGAAATGTCTTCTTTATTTATGTCGACGCCGTACCACGTAAAACCTGGAAAACGCGAATCAACAAGGTAAAAATATACACAATTTAAAAACGGAAAGTAATGACGAGAGGAAAATTTGTTTTTTTTTTTTTTGGGGTACCTTGAGCGTGTTTTTGCCTCAACCTGTTGAGAATATTAGTCGCATCGAAACCTGCATTGTCCGCCAACTGTCTGGGAATTATTTCCAGTGCTTTAGCAATTCCAGAAATTATCAATTGTTCTTTTCCCGCAATGGTTCTCGAATAATCCCTTAATATTTTGCTCAGTTCCATTTCTATCGCTCCACCTCCTGCCACGACGGCATCGTTCTTTATTGTTCTTCGAACGATCATTATAGCATCATGAAGTGATCTTTCCGTTTCTTCTAAAAACTGTTCCGCTCCTCCTCTTAATACGATTGTACAGGCTTTGGCATTTTGACATCCCGTAAAGAAATTAAATCGCTCCCCGCCAATTTGTTTCTCTTCGAATTTTTCACATTTTCCCAATACGGATTCATTTAAATCATAAGCTGTGGCCATTATGGCACCTCCGCAAGCTTTCATGGTTCTTTTTAAATCTTCTTCATCGACACGTCCGGCGCAAAACATGTCTCTATCGGCAAAATACTGAGTAGCAACATCTCCAACGGGTAATTTTGAAAGCACTATCTGAGCTCCACTTTTATGAATGAGTTCTAATTTATCATATAAAATTTGCCATTCAGCATCGACTACTTTTTGATATTCAGAAACAGAATCAACTCTTACTTCTGCATTAGTTCTTTCCGCTTTTAATTCGAGCTCAATATTCAATAAAGCTATCTTAGGGTTTTTATAAGTTTTAGGTTGCATTTCGAAACCGGCATAGGAAAATGTTTTTTTGAAAGCAACTCCTTGGGTTAAAAGAGAGTCCTAAAAGCAATGGCAACTCATTTGTTAATTAACGAGTAGAAAAAAAAAAAAAAGAAAAATTAATAAAAAATTTAACTTACTTCAAGAGCACCACCAGTTACTTTTTTAATACCAATCATGTTTAAAGGCAAAAGTTCATCAAGGGATAATACTGCATTAACAACCATGTTTGCAAAAAAATCCTTCTGCTGATGAATAAGTTTAGAACTCAATGCAGTGGATGCACATTTCTCAAGAAGTCCTCTTTGTTCGTTGGGTTTTGATTTTTCAACATTTTGTGCCAAGGCTTTAATTTTTTCCACAGCCAATTGAGTGGCTTTCCTTAATGATTTTATTATTATTCGAGGATGAACTCCTTCTTCAATGAAAGGTTTAACTTGTTTTAAAAATTCTCCTGTTAGCAATACTACACTTGTGGTACCATCACCAACCTTTAACACAAGAACAATAAAAATAATTAAAATTTAATTAGAAGTGTTGCAAAAAAAAAAAAAAAAAAAAAAAAACATTTATTCACCTCTGCATCTTGCGATTTAGCAATATCGACTAAAGTTTTAGCAGCAGGATGAACAATATCCAATAATTTCATGATTGTGGCCCCATCATTTGATATTGTAGCTTTACCATCATTTCCTACAATTAATTTGTCCATACCTCTAGGACCCAAAGTTGTCCTTACAGCTTCAACTACAGCTTGGCAGGCATTTATGTTAGACACAACTTGAGCAACTCCTTGAGAGTTCTCAGTTCCCTCTTTCAGCAGAATTATCTGTGGTTGCTGGGACAAAAATAATTGCAATAAAATTTTTAAGTAATATATGTCATCTTTTTTTTGTTTGCAACAAAAAAATTAATAAATTTTATTAAAATAATCTTTTAATAAGTGTCATGTGCAGGAAACCAAAATTAATTCATTCATGAATTGAGTGGGGTATGACTAATAGATCTTACACAATCAGGTTGTAAATGACCGGTTAATTTTAATAAGACTTTCGAGAGAAAAATCCAAAATAGTACATTTAATAAAATAACAATTATTCGATTATATGTCGTATAATAAGCCTAATTAATATTATTATTGGTCCAAAAATATTTAATTATCTTAATCATGTAGAAAATAATAATTTTTTTTTACTTAAATATCAAAACAAAAAGAAGACAAAAGAAAATTAATTCGCCGGCATTTAATAAAATTATTACTTCGCAAAATAATTATTAAGATAATTTAACATAATTTACGTTAATAAAAATGTCTCTAAATTAAAGGATGGTTTTTAAAAAATATGATAAAATTTCTTACCATTTTTATTAATGTAATTCCACTATCCGTAAAAATACAGTAATCTTAGAGACTAAAAACAAATGATTGTTTATACTAGTGACACGCCGTCGTGGCTTTATATAAAACTATTTTTATTAATTTTGAAATTTGACTTTTAAACTTTTAAAATTAACAAATTTCAAATACAACTCACTGAAAATTTAAAAAAAAAATATATTTTTTAGTTGTTTTGTCTGATAACGTCTTGAGTTTAGTAATAATTGTAAATTTTTAGTGTTCGTGGTAGCAGAATACTCTTTTAAATTTTCAGTTTGTTTTTAAAATTAAATACCTAATTTTTATTTTTAAGAAATAAAACAACTTTATCAAAGTGCAAATAAAATATTTAGAAAGACTAAATTTTTCTTCATTTCAAATTATTTTTAAATGACTTTAGTGGGGCGCTTACTTTGTAAAACTACTAAGAGGTGTGCCATAAAGTTTTCTCCAAGATTTTCTTTGCTCGGTAAAATCTTAACTGTCAGGTAGGTATGTCTTTTTTGTACGACACAATGCCTAAAAATTATGAGTAATGATGACGACGTGAATTTCATATATGTAGCCAATAATTATTATTTGTGCCATTCAGTTTAGTTTAATAAATTAAAAAAAAAATTTTATTTTGAATAGTTTTAGTACTGTTAGGTATTTGAAACCGAGTATGAGTGAAAATAGTGGTGCAGTTAAATGTGTCAATGGTATTATTAAATCACCGGAAGACAAAAGATGTTACAGAGGGTTGGAATTGGATAATAAGCTGAAAATTTTGCTAATTAGTGACTCTGATACAGAAAAAGCTGCTGCTGCTCTCACTGTGCATGTTGGCAAGTTAATTGACAAAAATAAATAAGCAATTAATTGTTTGTATAATTATGTGTAAGTAATTTCTACAAAATGTAATGTTTTTATTGATAGGATCTCTAAGCGATCCATTAGAACTACCCGGATTGGCTCATTTTTGCGAGCATATGCTTTTTTTGGGAACGAAAAAATTTCCTGTTGAAAATGACTACAGTAAATTTATATCTAAACATGGAGGTTCTTATAATGCTGTTACTGCTCATGATCACACCACCTACTATTTTGATGTACTACCAGAACACATTGAAGGTGCTTTAGATAGGTATTTTGTAAAATTCAAATTTAAAATCCAACCTGATAACTTTTTATCAATATAAAATTCACTAAAATATTTTTTTAATCGTAGGTTTTCCCAGTTTTTTTTAGAACCTCTTTTTAATGCTGATGCCACCGAAAGGGAAATTCAAGCTGTTAATTCAGAGTTTGAAAAAAATTTACCCAGTGATGCATGGAGATTTTTACAATTAGACAAACACTTGTCCAAAGAATCACATCCATATAATAGATTTACAATAGGAAATTTGAAAACTTTAAGCACAACTCCGAAGGAAAATGGAATCGATATAAGAAATGAATTATTAAAATTTCATGACAAATGGTACTCGGCTAATTTAATGACTCTTGTCGTTTTGGGAAAAGAAAGTTTAGATGATTTGGAAAAATTAAGTAAATCATTATTCACAAATGTGAAGAATAATAATGTTGAAAAACCAGAATGGAAAGAACATCCTTTCGCTACTGAACACCTACAAATAAAAGGTTATGTTGTACCTGTGAAAGATATAAGAAGTATAAAAATTTGTTTTCCTGCACCCGATTACCACGAACATTATAAATCAAGCGTAAGAATTTTTCATAGCAAATGTTATAATTAGTTAATGCATAATAAGGACTTATTTTTTATTTTAAATTTTTTTTTTTTTTTTTTTCAGCCTTTTAACTATATATCACATTTGATTGGACATGAAGGACCAGGTAGTTTATTGTCTGCTTTAAAAGAAAGAGGTTGGTGTAATAAACTATCGAGTGGTTACGACAATGGGATTAGAGGTTTTGCATTTTATTTAATAGAAGCAGATTTAACAAATGATGGAATGGAACATATTGATGACATATTAGAATTAGTATTCCAGGTTTGAATTTCTAAAACCTTATTTTATGTTTTTTTTCCATCAAGTCAAATTTCAATGACTTTTAATTATCCTTTTTAATCTTTTTTTTTAGTATTTAAACATGCTTAAAAAAGAGGGACCCAAGCAATGGATTTTTGAAGAAATTCAACAATTGCAAAAAAATAAATTTAGATTTAAAGGAAAAGAAGGTCCGATAGGTTATGCAGCAACATTATCTCAACTACTCCCTAATTATCCAATGGAAGAAGTACTTTGCGGACCGTATTTTCTGGAAGAATGGAATCCAGATTTAATAAATGTTGCTCTCGGTTATTTAGAACCTAAATATTGCAGGTGAATTCAAAAGAGATCATCAAACTTCTATTTTTCTTTAAAAAATAAACTTCGTAATTTAACTTTTCCCCCCCCCCCCCAAATTATTTTCTCTTATTATCAGGATAGCTTTAATCGCTCAGGCTTATGACAAAATGGCTGATAAAATCGAACCTTGGTTTGGAGCAAAATATACGGTTGAAAAAATTCCACCTTCTACAATTCAAGTAAGTTATAATTATTTATCAATTGCCAAATATATATATATGAATTACGTCACTTTTATTATTATTATTATTATTTCGTTTTTAGAAATGGGAAAATTGCGGATTTGATAATGCTCTCCAGTTACCAAAACCGAATGAATTCATACCGTCTAATTTTAATATTTATCCGCTGGAAGACGAGGTAATGAAATTTTAATTATATATTAAATCAATTATTATTATTTTTCCAACGGTTTCCATTTAATTCCAGTCCGCGTCTTCGCCACATCCCGCCATAATTGTCGATACTCCGACGACGAGAGTTTGGTACAAGCAAGACGATGAATTTTTATTACCAAAAGCAAATTTAAAATTTGAATTTATAAGTCCTCTTGCTTATTTGGATCCACTCAATTGCACCATGACTTATTTATTTGTGGAATTGTTGAAAGATTCTCTCGCCGAATACGATTACGATGCCGCCATTGCCGGATTAAAATGGAAAATTCTCAACACGGAATACGGTTTGATGGTAATAATTAACGTTTATTTCGACAAAAAAATTTCCAAACAATAATAATAATAATAATAAAATATTTGTTATGGATAGCTCACCATAGCCGGATACAATGACAAACAAGTTTTATTACTGGATAAAATCCTGGAGAAAATAACAACATTTAAAATCAATGCAAATCGATTTAAATACATAAAAGAAAATGTAAGTTCCGGATAATGTGATTTGATTTCATCCCGAACGGGGTTGTTATAAAGAAGGGATTCCCTTCCCCCCCCCTTTTCTTACCATTTCAGTACGTGAGAGCTTTGAAAAATTTCCAAGCTCAACAACCCTACAGTCAAGCGGCCTACTATTTGTCAATTCTATTACAAGAACACGCTTGGACGAAAGATGAATTACTCAAAAGCACGGAATATTTAACGATAGAAAGATTATCCGAGTTCATACCGCAATTGTTGGCAAAACTTCACATTGAATTTCTCATACACGGAAACGTGAACAGGGACGGAGTAAGGAAAATAATCGAAACCGTCGATAAAAGATTACAATGCGATTCGACATTGCTACCCGTTTTACCGAGGCAACTTTTAAGAACTCGAGAAGTTCAATTGGTCGACGGTTAGTTGATCAAATTCCAGAAAAAAATTAATTTTTTAATTATTAACGGGATAAAATTATTATTTTTCAGGTTCGAATTTCAAATACGAAACTACGAATCCATTTTTCAACAGTTCCTGTACGGAAACCTATTATCAATGCGACGTTTTATCAACGAAAAATAACATGTTGATGGAATTATTGATACAAATAATAAAAGATCCATGTTTTAACATTCTTCGTACGAAAGAACAATTGGGTTACGTCGTTTTCAGCGCGGTCAAACGTTCGAATTGCGCACAGGGATTACAAATAATCGTACAATCGAATCGTCATCCGAAATACGTCGATCAAAGAATCGAAGCTTTTTTAATACAATTTCGAAACCTGGTGGAAGAAATGACGGAAAAAGAATTTGAAAGTCATAAGGAATCATTGGCGACTTTACTCCTTGAAAAACCTAAAAAATTATCCGTTTTAACATTGAAATTTTGGGCGGAAATTGTTTCGCAACAGTATCATTTCAATAGATCCGAAGTCGAAGTTTCTCATCTCAGAACGATAACCAAAAATGATTTGTTGGCTTTTTTCGATCAATTTATTAAATACGGTGCGGATCACAGGAGGAAATTGTCCGTGTACGTTTTGGCTCTCGGTGAAGGAGGAGCCGGAAACGAACCGGAACCGGATGAAGTTGCGTTGTCGTCATCACAAGAAGGTTTACCATCTCCTCCGCCCTTTATTCCCGTAAATTTTTTTTTTTTTTTTTCTTCTTTTGATTAAAATTCAAAAACAACGAAAATCATTTTTCAATTTTTTTTTCTCTTTTTTTCTTTTTCCAGCCCTCGAAAATCGAAGATATAACAAAATTCAAAAGCAGTCACGGTTTATATCCATTGACTCAACCATATATAAACATAGCGTCGGGAGGAGCAACTAAATCTAAGTTATAAGTAATAATAATAATAATAATAATAATAATAATAATAATAATCATGTTTGTGAATCTAATCGAAATCGAAATCAGAAAAATACGTCACAAATTAATATTTTTTACTATTTATTTACTTACGGAAAATAAATTTTAAACTTTTTGATTTGTATTAATCACAATAATAATAATAATAATAATAAATTTTTTTTAAAAAAATATATTGATAATAATATTATTATTATTTTTGAGAGAAATTTTCCTTTTTTTTTAATTTCAAAAAAAAACTATTTCATTAATATTATTATTATTATTATTATAATGCCATCAACTAAATCTCTTTTTCTTTTTCTTCTAGTTAATAAAAAACAAAAAAGTCTCCTTAAGTGTAAAAAAAAAAAAAAAACTTGATAGTAATTAAGGAATTTCCCCCCACCTCCACCTTCACCCCCTCCGTAAGGAAACTATTTTTAAAAAGAAAAAACATTTCGTATTTTGGGTGGTATTTTGACCCCCGGGGAAGGGGAGGGGAGGGAATTATACCTCCCAACAACAAAAAAAAAATATATCAAAGAAACAAACCTAAACGAAACGAAAAAATACTTAACTTAACGATTTTATAATGATCTCATTTTTAAAGAGAGAACTGGAGACGGGGAGCGGGAAGGGCGGGGGACGGGGGCGGGGATATTCAACTCCCATTAATGTAAGTAACGGACAACAACATTTAAATAAGAATTCAACCATTTTTTTTTTTTTTTTTTTCTCTCAAACAAAACAACCCGCATTTTAAAAAAATAAATAAATATGTATATACACGTCCGCGTGTATAAACAGCAATAATAATAATAATAATAATAATAATAATTTTATTCAACAACCGCAACGATTCCGAAAATAATAATAATAATAATAATAATAATAAATTATATTTTAACAATATTACCTATGACGTCATTTTTATTTATGATCAAACGTGCATAAGTTCCACCAATGAGTCCTTTGGCTAATCTTTCAGGATTCACGACGACGGTACAATTTTCAACTTTCTGGAGAAAATGAAAAAAACAAAAATAATAATAATAATGATTAATTTTCCACGAGGCATCATTAAAAACGTGGAGAGAGAAAAAAAAAAAAAAAAAAAAAGGTTTTCTTTTGTTACCTGAATAAAATATCGTAAATCCGAGGGTAGAATTAGTATGTGGGGTGCGACGTCGAGTTTAACGTGATCCATCAAGGTCGGATCCAAAGGTACGTCTTTGGCAGGTGCGAGAGGATAAAAACTTTTCTGATGTAAAATGTGCTTTGCTAATCGCGACAATCTTCCACCGTCCTGTGAACTTTTTTATTTTTTTATTTTTTTCAAATCTATAAAATTCCTGTCGTACCTTACGAGTCACCCCACCCCCCTACTCCTCCCCCTCAAACTCACCAACTTATTTCCTCTTTACTCATGTGCAAGAGTACATCCGTCGACGTGACACCGAAAACGACGTCGTCCAACGAAAACAAACAGGGATCCGGAAACAGATGAAGTTTAGGATATGATTTCGTGCATTTTAAAATCATTTCCGGCGTTGGAAAAACCATCGGAGACGTTAATTCCTTGTACGAATTTATTATTATCACTTGAGTTTTGAGCCTGAAACGAAATGAAAAAAAAAAAAATTTCTTTTTTTTCTACGTGCGAATAACCGAACGAAAAAATGCTGCAATAAAATTTTAAATTTAAAAAAAAACTCATCAATTATTTTAAATGATTTTTTTTTTTTTTTTTTTTTTTTTTCCTTTCCCACATCTGTTCATCTGTCAAAATGATAAATTTTCTTCTTTTTTACCCTTTTCTTGTTGTTTTACGAATCATCATCAAACTATGACATGTTGAATATTTTCAAAAGAAAAAAAAAAAAAAAAAACGAAATCACGTTTTATTAAATTTGTACAAAACATTTTTTTCTAGCTTGTATTCATCACGTGATTATGTTTATAACAATAAAGAAAGGAAAACTCGTCATTAAATAATAAATTTTTACAAAACAACCAAAGAATTATTATTATTATTATTATTTTTCCTTTTTTTTTTTTTTACCCAATTTCCAAATTTTCCATTTCTTCGGCATAAAATGGTGGTGGTGGGTGGATACCACTACTACCACTACTACTACCACCACCGCCGCCGCCGCCACCGCCAATAAAAATGGTAGCACAGCAAAAAAAAAAAAAAAAAAAAATTTACACGACCTCACAAGAGAAAAATCATTTTTCTTTTTTTTTTTCTCTCAACCTCCAAGTCATGAATCCAAATAATCATTAAAAAAAATAAATAAATAATAATAATAATAATAATAATAATAATAATAATAATAATAATAATAATAATAATAATAATAATAAAACTTTTCTCTCGCCGCGTGACTCATCATCAAAAACAGGCACAAACTGGAGTCAAATTACTTTAAATTATTCTACCATCTAATGATCATTTATAATATCATCTTGGAATTGGTAAATTACTTTTTTTTTTCCTTCATCTTCTTCTTCATCTTCTTCTTCTTCTTCTTCTTTTTCCTTTCACACTCTTTTGGAATTTGAGAAATTGCTTGGACCGACCGACCGGCCGGCCGGAACATCCGTCATTTTTCTTTTTTTTTAAAGTGAAATAAAAATTTTTTTTCTTAAACGTTTTCTTCAGGTGAGGCGAACATTCATTAACGAGCGAGAACTTGGATAATAATAATAATAATAATAATAATAAAGATAATACAAAAATTACACGTCTCTCACCTTTCTATCGGTTTCATAATTTTCTCCATAATTTTCTCGAGGAAATCTTCCATTGTTTCGGCGAGCATATTTTCCGAAAATACCGGATGATCGGATTCAATGAAGGGTCCGGTCAAAATCAACGCGTGAGGCTCGACATTAACAACTTCTTTCATCAAATCCAAAAGCGGTTGATACGTCATGGAGTCGGATGGCGTGTACGGACCGGAGGCCACCATCACGCTCAGTGGTCCTCCTCCTCCTCCTCCTCCTTTCGTTAACTCATAAGGTTTGAAAAAATTCAAATTGGTATCGGTGTAGAGTTGTTTAACGACTAATCTTTCTTTGGTTAGAGAATATACTTCGGCAGCCACGACTTGACCGGGAAATATCGAGTACTTGGGTAGTACCGACAAATCTAAATCTACGGATGTACCCGAAGCGTTGTCGGATGTGCCTTCGAGAAGGATATTTTTCGATTTAAGACGACCCTCTCCGTCGCAAGCTATGCGACCCACCAAAATAAAAGGCGTCTGAAACAAATTAAAAGAATCAAATCCTGATTCAAGCGAAACCTGATTTAATTAATTAATGTCCTTACGACTCCTCTGTGATTCATCGGCATTTCCTCTTCCAGAGAATATTTTCCAATTATCAATTTTCCTATTTTCTCAATATTATCGTTCCAATAATCCAAATAATCCGTCAGACTGTTGTGCATGTAGTAATAAATTGAATTTTCCACCATATTTTTTATTTTTGCCGTAAAACCGTTTTCGCATTTCCAATTTCTTTCGGTCTCGTCATCGTTGTACCTGAATACGATGGTACCGGCATTCGTACGACTGATGTATTTCGCCGAAGGAGTTAAACTGAAATAAATAAATTTCAAATAAACATTTTATTCAATAGATTATTATTATTATTATAAAAAAACAAAGATTTTATTATTTAAAGTGTTTCGAATCATTTATCAGTAAGCGAAGATAGTTTGTAAAAAAAAAAAAAAAAAACGCTTTAAAAAAGTTATAAATGTTGAATAAGAATAATCATTTTTTTTTTTTTTTTTTTGTTTTGTCGGTGGGGTGCTTCCCCAAAATACTTTTTTTGTTTTTTTTTTCAAGGACCCACCATGTTGAAGGTCTATTACACCCAACATCCTTCGGGTTGTTCATTAAAAAAACGCACGAAACCTAATTAACAGGAAATGATTAATACAATACAATAATTCTTCAAGAAAAACATTTTTTTTTTTTTTTTTTTTTTTTTCACTTACATTGTAGGTGAGTAACTTGCTGGAGAGAAAGTCGCCTGAGGACTTTTATCATAATTATATTTCCTTTTGATTCCACCGCCACCGCTTACACCACCACCACCACCCCCTGGAATTTCCTGACCATCTCTCATCTGCAACGATCATAATAAAAGAATAAATCAATTTTTTTTTTTTTTTAAATCGAGCAATATTTTAATTTACCATCATTATCATTATTATTATTATTATTATTATTATTATTAAATAATTTAATAAAAATCCGCACGCGTGTGTCCATGTGGGCTCATGATGGAAAAATCAATCGGCACGAGTATGGATCTAGTCATGATAATAATCCTACAGGACCAGACCCATATTCATGAAGATTAATTTTTTTAATTTGTTGAGAGATTTATACGCACAATTGATGACGATAACGATGATGATGATGATGATGATATTGATTTTATTATTGTGATGAGTGTAGATCTAGTCACCAGTATAAAAAAAATTTAAGGAAACCAAATCATCACTCATCCAATAACAAAATCCTTTTTTATTTTTCATCTCACCTTTTGATCCTTTTGCCAAAAAAAAAAAAAGGAAAAATTAGGGATACATTTAATTACAATAATCCTTTAATATATATTGAGAAAAACCCAAAAGTTAATAATATATAAAAAATTCAGGGAATGTTTAACTTATGGGCAACATGCGAAACATATTGTTAGTTTAACGTTATCAAAATCTCAGCTCCTTATCTATTCATTCATTCATTCATTCATTCATTCATATGTTTGGCAATAACTTGTGACACGTTCAAATTTATTTCTCAAAACAATTTTCCTTATTCATTAAAATTTGCATTTTTCCATTATTTTTCCCTCAATTCGATTTTTAATACGAGATAAACTTACCGACTCACCTACAACAGTAAAGTAAAACTATTAAGCGATTTTGTTTTCCCCTCCCCTCCCCTCCCCCTCACACACTTTAGTCGCAGCATTAATGAAAATATGGCGAATTTGATTTTTAAAAAAATTTTGCTACTTTTTACTTAAACTATTTTTGTTGTATCGTAAAGAGAATTTTTTTTCTTTCCCATAGCCTATACTACCCCTCCTATATAATTTAAATGTGGGGTCTATCTGGGGTAGATTTTTTTGTGTTCGATCCCTATTTATCCCTACTCACTCTTTCACATACATTATTCTCACGTTTTCTTTCAATTTCGTACACCCTCCTAAACAAAAAAAAATTTTTTTTTTTTTTTTAATAAACCCCATTCTTTTCTTTTCTTTTTTTGTTATTAACCGTTCCCCATGACTATTTATTTATTTATTTATTTAACACTCTCGCATAATCTTCCTCCTTCATTTACCGCCAAAAATATGCGTAAACATATATATATATATATATATATATATATATATATATATAATATTATTTATTTACCTCAGGTTCGAAACTCGCATTCTAATATTGCGGTAAAATAATACCAGAGGTGAAATATTATATCATGTCGTTCATTTATTTACTTTAACGTTTAAACAAAAAAACTGACTTGCTTATTTTTTTTTTTTTTAAATTGCGAATTTACAAATTAACCAACCACCCCTTTTTGAAATTATCGTTCAATCGCATAAACTGAGGGTGGTAACAATAAATAAGTTAACCCCCCGGGGCTCACAAAACATCCTTTAACGAGTACTAAAATTTATTTAATGTACTTGAATCATATATTATGTTATGTACGTATGTACATAATTTTTTTTTTGTAAATTCTACATCTTTTTATGTTCAAACAATTTGTAAAAAATTAATAATTCATGAAATTTGAAATTAAATCCTTGTTTTAAAAAAAAAAAAAAAAAAACCGATTTTGTGGTTTTGAAATAAACATTAATCAAATCGGACATGTTTATCTAACGCATTTAGGTCAATTAATATTAATTTGAAAACCATACAACATTCATTGCCTTTTTTTTAAAATTTCCATTAAAAATTCACTCTAATAAAAAAATTTTAAGGCAAACAAACAGAAACAAACAAACAAAAAAGAGATACAGAGTAAAAAAAAATTCGTTGGTCTATTCAGACGCGTTCACAACCCAACACAAAAAAAAAAAAAAAAAATCCAACCCCAGGTGTAAACCTGTTTTCATGTTTGTCCAGTTTTTTCCCCCCCCCCTCCCGCGGTGTGAATAAACTAAACTTTCATACAAACTATTTTAAGAATACTACTACAAAACTAGTAAGGGAAGGGGGGGAAGAAACAATTCTCCTCTCCCCTGCCTCCCCCTGCCCCCCCTTCCTTCCTTCCTTCCTTCCTCCCTGAAATACAATCAAAGGTTTTCTCATCGATAAAACGTTTAAGCTTTAAACCTCCTTTCATTTCATTTTATCCTCATCATGGATAAATTTAATAAATAAATAAATAAATAAATTATTATGATACACTTTTACACCATTATTTTCACTTAATTTATTTAAAAAAATTAATAAATAAATTCGTAATAAAATTATGCTTGGCTGACGACCGAATAAGTTCATTGACGATACATCATGTCATTTTATTTTAAACGTAAAAAAATATGAACTACAAACGACCTAACCAACGAATTCTTTGTGACTCACCAACAACAAACAAACAAACGAGTTTAACAACAACAACAACAACAACTATGAAATTCAATGCAGGGAAAAAAAAAAAAAAAAGAGCAGACTTATTTTGTTTAACGAAACAAAAATTTAAAAATATATATGTATATACATATAAATACATATCAAATTTTCCGTTATGAAAATCGCGGTAAACCATTTTTTTTTTTTTTTTTAAAGTTGGCAACTATGAAAACACTGAAATTTGATTTACAACTATTTTCACAAAATACCTTGAGAATCTCTTGTTACTTGAATATTTCAATTAGAAAAAAAAAATACATAGGCGCACATATTACCAACTTTTACAAAAAAAAAAAAAAAAAAAAATTTTTTTTTTTATTTTCGGGCGGGATTCCTGAAAAAAAATCCTGATGTAACTCAAATTGAACACTGTTTGGAACGTTCGTACAACGGTCATCATTATCAAAATTTTTTCTTTTTGTTTCCGTTTCTTAATAATAATAATAATAATAATAATAATAATATTTTATTTTATTAATTCTTTATAAACAAATTAACTCGGAAGTGGATTTCAATATTAACGATTATATAAAAAAAAAAAAAAACTCGTAAATCCGACGGATACCCAATGCGCGCGGTCACTAATTTTCTAAGACCAAGCCATGAGCTCGACCTTGAACATTCTTCATCATAAGAGGAAAAAAGAAGTTCAGATTAAACCCGAAAAAGGTAACAGACATAATACACCTTCAAGGGTGTTTGACTTCACTTTAGAAAAATTACAGCGCGTGAATTATAAAAAAACGACGCCTCAAATGTATTTTCACGTTCGAAAATCGACCATTTAAAAACTACGCGACGCGATACGAAATAAATAAGTTGACTACCTGACCCATAACGAATTTCAAATAACGATAAGAGTTTTTTTAAAAAAAATTACAATTTATACATTTATCATATGAAAATCCACTTCTCAATATTATTTTCAACCGTCGTTCCGGACATTTTATATTTCTCAACCAAACCAACAACCACGACTGTGATTGAATGGTTTATGTTTGCCTTAAGTCCAAGGATATTTGCAAACACATCGTGAGTAGTGAACGTCAACATTTAACGAGTATCAAAGTCTACCTGGACCAAGATCTGAGACTTGAAACATCAGGTTAAAATTTTTGTAACAAAAAAAAAAAAAAAATCCGGCTGATGAACAACACAAGACCGAGTTCCTCCCACATTTGTTTAAAACTAATGTTTTACAAATACTAAACATCGAGTATTAGTTACGTTATTCAAGCACAAATTAATTTAGTTTTTTGGATTCGAGAAAAAATTTAGACATTTTCAAAATTTGACTAGGCCAAAAAAGACGTAGTTACCCATTTTCCAAATTTTCCAAAAAAACTAAATAAATAATCATGCACGTATATTATTAGTTATGTTAGTTTAATAAACTTGATTATTAGGCTTACCTTGGTTTTAGGGGTGGTTTCGTTGTACGCCATTATTATCCTAGCTGTTTCATCTCTGAAAAAAAGAAAAAAGAAAATATTAATTAAAATTCAAGATACATTTTTCTGAATTTTCTAGTCAGTCTTGTATTCAAAATATTGAATTATCTATCCAGGGATTCAAACTGTAAATATACTTTAATTCTTAAGTCTATTACAAAACTTGGAAATTATTATGTAATGACTAATATTTTCCATTTTGAATCTCAAAGTATTATATTATTTATATTTGAAACAGTGAGAGAGAGAGAGAGAGAGAGAGAGAGAGAGAGAATGACTTAGCGTTGCAAAGAAATCATCAAATGTGAAGGCCTCCGGTGAGAAAGAAGGTAATTGGACTAGAATTGGAGATGTCTAAACAAAGAAACGTGTCATTACCATGGCTCAGGCCGTGCTGGCACGCCATGTAATTACATGCTAATTTCGAATCCACTTCACGAAGGAATTTTTTTTTTTTTTCTTTTTTTCTACGGTAGAAGAGAAAAACTAAATTTTTATTCATTATTGTTGGGATACAACATGACGTCGAACAATTCTCTTTAAAGAATGTGGCTTCCATTTTCTAGACATGGAAGCAAACACTTGAAACACAATTTTTTTTTACGCGCGCTTTTTCTCCCTACAAAAAAAAAAAAAAAAAAAAAAAAAAAAACGTTCAGGGGTTTGAAAGCGTCGTATACCCTTTTTTTTTTTTTCTTTTAAAATTGCTTTTCAAAAATATTTTATTTTTAAAAAAATACTTTACATTATTATAATAATTCAAATATGTAATAATAACTGAATTATACTGTATAAAATTTTAATACATGAAAATTATTAATAAAGATATTCATTCGAATAGGAAAATTATTTAACAATTTTTAAACCGAATCAAAGTTTTGCATGAAAAATCACAGGAAAAAAAAAAAAAAACTTTTAAATTTTTTTTTGAAAAGCAATGGTCCACAAATTAAATGAAAAATACCATAAAACAGAAATAAATTTATTCGCAATAAACTCTGAAAAAGATCAAAGGTGTAGAAAATTGAAATTTCAAATTGTTAGTAAAATAAAATTGGTAGAATTTCATTTTACATCACCATTTGTATACAATAATAAAAAAGTAATAGAAACACAAATGTAATACAGAAAGCAAAAAAAAAAAAAAAATCTCAAGATTTTAAAACAGAATGAAAACCACAAAAATTATTCGGGTTTATGAACCGTGACAATATCCAGGGTACAATGGCCTAAGTGATGCACTGCTTCGAATGAAACATAATTGTAAAATTAAGTAGGTAAGTTTAATCAGATGATTATAAGAAATTTTTGTCATTAACTATGTAAATTTAAAAGTCAATTTGTAAAAGTACATTAAAATAAAGAAAATCAAATTTGAAAAAAAATAAAATAAAAAATACCTCTCTTTCATTGATGAACCACCGTAAACAGCAGGCAGAGATTTAGTCGATATTGTTTCGCTTGATTTAGTACAAGCTGCAGGCTTTTTAATGTAGTTTTCTCTCTCAAACTTGATAAGATTAGTTTCATTAGGACCTTCTCCACCCAGATAAGACACTGAATATGCCATCCAAGTATCCACAAATTCTTCTGCATCCACCACATTGTGCCTTTTACAAAGTTCCAAACCTATATGATTTAAATAAAAATTATGATGAAGCATGAGAATTTCAAATATCTACTACATTTTATGGGTACTTTTGCATGATTTCAAGAATATTTTTTTAAGAATATGACAAATTTCTAACAACGTTTTATTAATAATACCCACCTAAGTTATGTAATTACTACTGGTGGGCATTAGTAAAACAAATTTATGTTATAGTATCAAGTTCGAAAAAATGTGTGCTGTTAGTACATTAATTTACTACAATTAAAAAATGAATATATTTTTAATTATTTCTTACAATAAAAATATTTAACTCGACAAAATTTTTAACCCCCATTACATAAAAAAAAAAAAATACCTATCATATTATTCTAAGAATTGCGTTATGCATCCTAACTTATTCAAAATTACTTTCATCAAAACTTACACTTTTGAAGAGTTTTATCGCTACAAGAGACCCCTAACTCATCGAAAAACTGTACAATATTTCTTTCAAATTCACTCATATCTTTTACAACTCTTGACAGAAAAAATACCGCGAAAAACAGACGCTAGCAAAGCATGTGCAAGGTTAAAAAACCATGTGACCTTGGCTAAATAAAAAATTACGTTTTAAGAAAACAAATAATATATTTAAAAACACTTTACCTGTAAACGGAATTCAAATTTATTAATTAATGCGAATTAAAAATTATTTAGAACAATAATTTTTTTCTCAGAGCGACTAAAAGCAATAAATTGTAACTGCGCACATACAAATTTCATTTCGTTCTTAACTTCCGGCGTCTACTTCACTAATGTGTAACTGCTTAAATTACTAGCAGTGGATAGTAAATCTACTGCCACGATTATTGTTGTTTATTAGAATTTTAAGCGAGATTCCAATGCTCATTTGTTTTATACTGAAAAATTTTTTAATCGAAAATAACATTAAACAACATTTCGGTATTATGATAAATTTTATTATTTATTTATTTTTATTGCTTAATTTTTCATTAAGTATTTGCACAGACATTGGTTGTAAAACGAAAGCGACTATGTTTAGGGAAATAGAAAGAGAAGGTTTTCATATTACTGTGCATTCGTTGATCGAGCTAGTTGTAGATGTAGAATCGGCGTGGAAATGGGAAAAATGCTCCATACTTTTAAGAGAAAATATTTCAAATTCATTTTATGCTAATCCCGATCAGTTAATGGAACTCAACCGTTCTAGAATAATTCAGGCTTGCACTCCTGATAAAATTAATATTGAAACACCTCGACATTTATCTACAGGGCATTTGGTTTACATTTATGGGGAAATGAAACGGTCTCAAAATTTAATTTTTGTTAATTTAAACTTTCCTTTACATCTGAGGTATCACGAACCTAAAGTTAATGGTGGTTATTCCATGGCTGAATTAAAACCCCCTGTTTTATTATTGAATTGCCCAAATGTGGATTGCAAAAATTTATTCAAAAGTAAAGCACCTTGTTCATTGTGTGGAAATGAAATGTGCTCATGGATGAGAATACCTTTTAACACCAATAAACAAAACATTACATTACCTGTTCCTGTAGGAAATTTAAATCATTTGTGGATAATTAAATTCCTAACTTATTTCTTAACATTTTCTGGTTCCATATATATAATTCTTTCAGTGATTTTAACAAATTGCTAATTTGACAAACAGTTATCAATTGAGTTCCCGATAAATTACAAAAAAAATTTAATTATATTTAAGTATTTTACATTTAGCTAACTTTTCTAGTTTTAAGTCAACAATTGGGGTACATATTTCAATTCATATCTGTAAATTTTGTTTTACACAGGACTGTATTCAGGATAAAATTTTTTAATTAAAATTTGTTTCGGAAAAAAAAATGTCAAAGACCCTCGTAGTCTTCAGAATTAATTTTATTGTAGTTTAAAATCACTTTCTTCTTTTGTCTTGAATATTATATATTTGCTATTTCATTTTTAGTAAATATGTTATATATGAAAAAATTGAAATTAAATCATTTAAGTGTTTAAAAAAAAAAAACAATTTTTCTACTGAAACTTTTGTAATTATAAGTTTTCCGCAAAGTTTTTTAGATATCCTGTTTTTCTAAGAAAATCATTTGTGTTGCACTTACTAAAACAAAAAATTAACTCAGGAACAAAAATGATGACAGTAGAGAAAAGACATTTTGACAATCCTTTTCCTGAATTTGCACCACACAAAGAGAATAATTTGGTAGACCTTCAAACTAAAAAGGTAAATTAACTTTTAAATTTATAATTATTCATTTTTTTTTAATCGTAATTCTAAAATTTTTTTTTTTAAGATTCACACATTGTTTCTTGATAAATTAAAAGCTACCAATCACAAATTAATGGAAGTTCTTGAACAGCATTTACCAAGCGGAAGAAAGGATGGATCTGTGTATACTGGCACAGCTGGTGTTGCTTTGTTATATTTAATGATGCATGAAAAAATAAATAACCCAGCATACTTAGAAGTAAGCCACATAAACACATTAAAGGATACATGATAATACAGTTTACAATAATGGTGAAAGTAGTATTATTTCGTTAAATATTTACATGTCCGAATTAATAGATTTTTGTTTTTTTTTTTTTTTTTTAGAAAGCAGCTGACTTGATTGAAAAAAGTCTAGCTAGGTTGAAAAACAAAGATGTTAGTTTTATTTGTGGTGATGCTGGACCTTTATCAATAGCTTCTGTTATATTTTACAAACAAAATAAAGTTGAAAGGAGTAAAGAGTGTGTTTCACGTCTTTTGGGTTTAATGCCTCGTGTGGCTTCATTGGACAGTAATTTACCCGATGAACTTTTGTATGGAAGAGTAGGATATTTGTATTCACTTATGTTTGTCAATAAATATATACCTGGAATTGTGCCAAATGATTTTTTTAAGCAGGTATGGAGATAATACAAAAATAATAATTATTATTGGAAGATTAGCAAAATGTAAGGTATAAGTTAATTAATTATTTAGGGTAAAAATTTCACTGCTTAAAAAAAAAAATTAAAATATTTATGTGAGAGTTTCGAAGTAAAAAAAAAAAAAAAAACCTGAATTTCTTGATATTTGAAACGTGTCTTACGATATGAAATGTGAATAAAATGTTCAAAAATAATAATAATAATAATAATAATTGAACAAATATTATTAATTGATTATTGTTAAGCAAAATCTAATTTATCAGGTCGTTACTTCCGTCATATCGTCTGGAAGAAATCTTTCCAAGAGGGAAAATATTTCCGTACCTCTTATGTATGAATGGTACGAAGAATATTATTTGGGTGGAGCCCATGGTATTGCAGGGATTTTATACCTCATATTACAGGTAAGTTTCTTTGTTTTAGGTATCCGATCTCGTCGTAAAAAGGGGACAGGAAATTGCATCGTGCGAAAAAATAGGTGTCCCTCTTATGTACGAATGGCATAGCAAAAAATACTTGGGTGGAGCTCACGGCTTGGCGGGAATACTTTTTATTTTGCTCCAGGTATTTAATTAATTAATTATTATCAGGTTTCAAATCGATGGATTCGTAGATTTTGTTCGATTGAAAACTAAAGGGAGTAAAACTAAATATGCAATAATGGTAACAAAAAAAAATTTTTTTTTCAAAATAAATTTTAATGCGTTATAAAATTGTTTTAGGCTAAGCAGTATTTAACTACGGAACAAATCGAACTTGTTCGTCCAACCGTAGATTTTCTCATCGGAATCAGGTACAGCAGTGGAAATTTTCCATCATCGTTGGGTAGTAATAACGATAGATTGGTGCATTGGTGTCATGGAGCTCCAGGATCGGTTCAAATGCTTTGTGCTGCTTACCAGGTAATAATAGGATAGGATTCACATCTGGATTTTTACTGAATTGGAATAATAAATTTTCACTTTGTTTTAAGGTATTTCGGGATCAAAAATATTTAACAGCAGCTGAACTTTGCGGTGACGTAGTATGGGAACGGGGATTGCTGCGAAAAGGTTATGGAATATGCCACGGTGTTGCTGGAAATGCATACACATTTCTCATATTATATCAAACAACAAGAGACATAAAACATTTATACAGAGCTTGTAAATTTGCCGAATGGTGCACAACATACAATCAATATCAAGAAAGAGTTCCCGATAGACCTTATTCACTTTTCGAAGGTTTAGCGGGAACCATTTATTTCCTAAACGACATTCAAGATCCTTTAAATGCTAGATTTCCAGGTTTCACAATTTAAAAGATTATTATTGTTATTATTATTATTGGATAACACACACACACGCACACACCTTTATATTTATCACACACGTGGAATTGTCTAAATTTTTTTATAAATGTTTAATAATTAAATTTCAAATGATGATGTTAAAATTAAATTACCTGTTTGGGGGATTTATTTATAATTTATTAAAATTTGAAAAATAACATTTTTTTATTAAGCAAAAAAAAAAAATGTAATTATTGAATTTTTTGTTTTGTTTTTTTTTTTTTTTTTTTAAATAAAAAAAAATTTAAAAAGAAAAAGTAAATTAAATTCTGTTAAATAATTTGCCCCCCCAAAAAAAAAAAAAAAAAAAAATTTAAATTGTTTAAAACCGTAATGTTTAAATAATAAATTAAATTTTTAAAATTAAATTAAAAATTTTAAATTATTTTATTAGCGATAGTTCCTGTGTTTAAAATGCAAGTTTTTAAGTTTTTTTTTTTAAAAAAAAAAAAAAAAAAAGAAAAAGAAAAGAGGGAAATTACTTTTCCATAGAATAATGTTTCTCATTTAAATTTTGTAAACACACACACACACACATAAAAAAAAAAAAAAAAAAAATGTTAAAAAAAAAAAAGTAATAATTTAATTTACGACTATTTTGGTCTATGGTTATTATTAAAAATTTCAAAAGGTCAATAATATTTATCGAGCAAAAAAAAAAAATATATTTATAAGTTATTTCGTTAAAAAAACTTTATGTATTTAATAAATATCTCGTTAAACGAAATAAATAAATATTGAAAAGTAAATTTGAAATAAAAATTTACAAGTTTTTTTTTATATATAAAACTAATTCAAAGCAATGGAAATAGTACCTTTCCATAGTGCATCCCAACAAAAGAAATTGTTTGATATTAATAAAAATTCTTTTTCAGGCAGGGAAAATAACATTTAATTAAATTAATAAATTGAAATAATTTTCAAATATATATATATATATATATTTATTTTTATTACGTTTAAATTGTAGTTCTATTATGTACACATGTATAATTCCGTTAGTTTTTTTGGTTTTTTTTTAGATCAGAGAAAATTTTTATTTTCCAGTGAGTCACATTATTTAAATTGACACCCACCCCCCTCCCCACCCCAAATATGAGAGACATTCAAGAAAGTTACATTTTAAAAACGGACGAAATAGAGGGAAGAAAAAAAAAATCTAAAAATTATAATCCGGAGCAAGATAATAATAACTGCAATTGTTATACTCCAGAACAAATTAAATTACATCATTATCATTGTCCGATGGAAAAAAAATTATGTCCGATTCATCATGGAGAAAATATAAAACGTAAAATATCATCCGAAGTGGGTTCCCTATGTCCCAAAACCCTTAAAGAGGGTTTGTTTAATCCTTTTCATTCGGTTGGAACCCCCCAATGTTATTCGACATCAGATTATTATTCAAAAACTCATTTACTCAAATACGAATTAGTTAAAAACAAAGAAGTGCAAACGAATATAAGCGATTTTAAAAAATTAGATTTAAATATCGAATCGAGAAATACATTAATTAAATCGAGTAAAAAAACAATTTCAATTAAATCCGATAAAATAAAAAAATATAAAAAATGTTTTTATTCGCCCTGTGAATCTTTGGCTCGTGTTTCGATAAATAAAAAATTAGGAAACGATTTAGAAGAAAAAATATCGATTAAATCAAAAGATACGTTAAGTTCTTATAACGATAATTTAAATCTATCGAATGATGTTTGCGATTTAAAAAGGAAAAAAATCAAAGATGTTAATTATAATAATAATGATTTTGAATGTTATTATTACAACGAAGATAAATCATATTTACAAAATAAAATTGGAATTATTAAAACGACAGAAGATGGAGGAGATGGAGAAGAAGAAGAAGAAAAAGAAAAAGGATTTGATGATGATGATGTTGATTTACGTTGCAATTATCATTTACAAAACGAATTAAAAAATTCCGATAGTAATTATTGTCAACCATTTTTTGTTTATCCCTCTAGTTTATTAGAAATGGGTTTGAAAAAATTAAGTCTTTCGAAAAATAAAAATTCCGACAAAAATAATTCGATGGAAAAAACTAAAAAAACGAGTAAAAAATCTGTAAGCGAAAATTTCGATAATAATAATGATGTCGTCGGCGATAATTCTAAAAAATTTGAAAATCGTGAAACGGATAATGAAAGTTTTCCATCTGATAGTAACGAATCTGTTTTTTTCACGCCATTTTTATTGGTGCCCAAAGGTTCGGATACGGATAAAAAAGAAAAACACCCGGTGGAAAAAGAAGTTCAAACCAATGATGCTCATCCTAAAAAAAGTAGGTTTAACAAAATTGTGACGTCAAAATTCGAAATTTAATTAATAATAATAATAATTTTATTTGTGTGATTCTATTGACATTAGGTACGTTGAGGAAATTTTCATCTGAAACGCATCCAAAGTCAATAACCTCGCGTGATAATCAAGAATCTGTCAAAGAACTATCAAAAGATATTGGTACCAATACCAGTACTAAATGTTTAGTGACACCACGAATCGAATCAAAAGGTGAACTTCGTACTCCGACCAGTTCAAAAACTGACAATATGCAAAAAAGAAGTAAACCCTGTTTCAAAGATGCAAGCACTCAATTTCCCAGTCACAAACTTTCCATTTTACCAATGGTAAGTTCGGAACATTCAAAGAGTGAAATAAAACCAACTTTAAGAAAAATGCCTGTTGAAAAACCGACAAAAGAAAAGGAAGAGCCTGTTAATTCGGTGAAAAAATATAAAAGTACAATGGGAGTTCAAACGGATTCTTCTCACATTGCTTTCGAAAGTGATAAAAAACATAAGAATACAAAAGCAGCACAAACGGAATCAACTCATACAGTAAATAACATTTTGGGAAATGATTCAAAACATCAGGATACAAAAGCAGCACAAACGAATTTGCCGGAAAATTTAGAAACTCCCAGAAGTGAAACATCGATTGAAGAAGAAACGACAAATATTAAATATCAAAAGAGATCCCCTATGGTACCTATGGTACCGACGACGCAAAACACAGCACCGGAAACCCCACCAAAAACATCAATGAAAACGATACAAACTGATTTTTCTTACGTGGCAGGAGAAGGAGGAAGAGTACCTCACGGATGTTATTGCGAAGAATTAACACAAACTGAAAATAATGAAACTTTAACAATTTTCCCTCCTTCTCATAAAAATCGTAGAGCTCTATTAATGAATAACGACGGTGATACAAATTCGGAAAATCCATTATGTACGGATTTGGATAAATCATTTTCCGAAAGTCAGGTATCCGAATTAAAAATGTTTGGTCAAGTTAAAGAGGGTAAAAAAATTCTTCAGGTTGATTTTGAAAGACATCAGAAAACAAATTGTACGATATCAACGAATACATCGAAAGCAAACGACAGCAATTCTTTTGATTCAAATGATGGTAAATTACCGGAAACTCCCATTCAAATCACATCATTTTCAACGGAAAAAGCAAATCCCTCTCCCGTTTCCGATTTGAGTGATTTAATTAAAATAATCGATCGGTGTTTTGATAAAATGACAGAATTTAAAGAAGGTGGACGATGTCAATGTTTTGTCAATTCGAACAGCGAATTTTACGAAAAAACAAATTTGGAAAAAAATTCCCAACAAGTTAACATACGGCAAAGCGTGCCGCTTAATAAACAATCAAATACATCCGAAGTACTCATATGTAAAATATGTTTAAATAAAATTAAAATTTTCACCGAAGATAAAAGCACGACCACCGAAAATGAAATGAATGGCACAACCGCGAGAAAGGTACAAAATAACACGGATTCGAAATCGTCCATATCGGGAGAACAGAAAAGGGTACGGGATAGTTCGATTCCGGTTCCGCGAAAACCACCCCCAGTTTCCGATTTGAGTTCATCATCGGGTTCGAGATTGCCCCCAAATTTAAAAAAATCACCGGAAAATTTAACCGGGGATAAAAATTCTGTGGCATTTAATGAAGGAACGAAAAAAAATTCCAATCAGGGATTCGAAAAGAAACCTAATTCAAAACCATCTTCCAGGAGTCACTCTCAAACAAATTCTAATACCTCAAAGAACACCGGAAATGATTCAAACGATAAACAAATCCCTTCGACATCGAAATCAAACGTTGAACAACAGCGAAAACCTCCGAGATCCAGTAAATCCCACAGCAATTCATTTACTTATTCCGTTATCGTATCACCCATGTGGCCCAAACAAATGTTACATAATTTACAAGAAAAAGCGATAAAACATTTGTGTAAAAAAAAACAAGGGAAAAAATATAAAACGTTATCGAACGAAGATGGTGGTAGTAGAACAACAACAACAACAAGAAGGCATCGTTTAAAAGAAAATTTATTAAACGATGATGAAATAAATGAAAATTCATGTTTTATTTTACGTCCGACAAAATCCGAATGTTGGTCTCATAATTACGTTGAAGAAAATGTCGAATATGACGAATGCGTTAATACAAACACGACGACGACGAGTTGTAGTAGTAAAAATCGTAAAATAAAAAGTGCAAATTTTTTTTGGATCCCTGCTTTTTCGACAAATGATTCATTGAATAACGCCGCCGCCGCCGCCGCCATATGTCAAAATGAACCTTTAAAACATAGAGAAAAACATAAGGAAAAAACCGGAAGTAGAGAAAAAAAACAACATGGAGGATTCAATAATGAAACATGTTATGGGGATCACGTGGATTCAGATAGCGTACATTCATCGTATGTTTTCGAAGAGGATAAATTATATACAAAATCATGTGCAAGCATAATACAAGATATATTAACGTATTTTCATGAAAAAACCAATAATTCTAGACCGTTGGAAAATATTAATGAAAAAGATGGCGATGAAGTGACAGGAGAACAAACTGATTTTACACAATCGAATGATGATGATGATGATACTTCTGAAAATGAATCGTGAATTAATTAATTAATTAAATGGAAAATTATTCGAATTGATTGAATATAATTAATTAAAGAAGGAAAATTTTCTTTTTTAAAAACAAACAAAATTTACTTACGGTAATCCATGTCATTAAAAATTATATCAAATGTGTGTCTAACACGTTTGTTACACTTTATGAAAGTTTATAGAAAAGAAAACTTGGTACCCATTATTATTAAAACTTGGGGTATTTTTACAATAGTTTGCACAAATAACGACAAATTTCTTAAATGACAGTTTTATATATTCGATCTTATAACGTTTATTATTATTACTGCAACTTGTAAGAAGAAGAATAATAATAATAATTAAAACCACATTGTAAACCAGTTTATTATTATCAAAAAAAAAAAAGTATAAATAATGTATTATTAAAAAAAAAAAAAAAAATGTTTTTAAAACTATGTTTATTAATAAATACAAAAATAAATCCTAACCAACCTTTTTATTATTTTAATAAATTTTTAAATCCTTAATTCCTGTAAAACCTTCTGAGGTGATCGAATTCATAATACGTCCACATTAATGAGATATAATAGGGTGAGAATTCATTTCCATGGGAAATTAATGCAAATGGCAAAAAATGAGACCTTAAAACATTCAACAAAACGTGTTGTCAAATTTTTGGCCCTGAAAAGGGCCGGTTTAAACGACGTAGAGAAAAATACAAATGAATCAATTTCAATTTAAGGTTTCTTTTCCGTTTTCTTGGGCAAAAGAACAGCTTGAATGTTTGGCAAAACACCACCTTGAGCGATGGTGACTCCAGACAACAATTTATTCAACTCTTCGTCGTTCCTGATGGCCAACTGCAAATGTCTGGGAATGATACGAGTTTTCTTGTTGTCACGAGCAGCGTTTCCAGCCAACTCGAGAACTTCAGCAGCCAGATATTCCATTACTGCGGCCAGATAAACAGGAGCTCCCGCTCCGACTCTTTCGGCATAATTTCCCTTCCTTAACAAACGATGAATTCTTCCCACCGGAA